ATATCGGTCAACCCCCACCTTTCACTATTATACGTCAACTTTGGGAAAAACGGGTTGGAAATGGTATGAGAAAACCTGATACATGGTGTCGGTGGATTCGAAAAGGAAAACTATTTGGGAAATTCGCGATCCGAGGTTCTACCTGTATGGTGCGCCCTCGTATTCTCAAGTAAGGACCGATTCCTTTGGGAATGCCATCCATGCATTGTACAGTGCAACCACACGGGTATTCTAGTTTACACCTAGAAAAGTAAATTGTTGATTCAGGTCTATCTTGCGTGGCAGTATTTGTGGAACACCGGGGATATAGGAGACGAAGTTACGGATCAAGTTGTACAAACACTGAAATATAGCCTCTGTAAGTGGCACATGGTACCTGACAAGTAGGAGTAGGAGACATCACCGGTGTTCCTAAGTAGAGGAGGGCATTGGCATGCCTGATGCTTGGCTCGTTGGAGCGACCCAACTATGTGGCATGGGGTATTCATGGGTTAGTATCGGGAAGGCCTTGTCACAAACTTTCAATGCCAGCGGGTGTTGGTCTAAGCTTCTTGTCGTGTGGGTAAAGTGTGCAACCTCCGCAGAATTTAGCTATATTGTTCAAACAACCGTGTCCACGGTCAAGGGTGAATGTGAGGTGATTCTCTTAGTGTATATTTGTTTGTGCGTGCTTTGTGAAGTTAGTTTGTGGGATGGGAATCTTTGCCAGCGATGGTCTGAGTGACTGGCGGATAACCTGGGTGGTTTGAAACGGGTCTGTATGACCCGAGATATCGGGATAGCATCATAGAGTAGGCTTCCCGAGTGGAAGCAAAATGGTATAGGATATGGGCGGTTTGGGAGAGTCAAGGTGTAGGAATATATGATGTAATGAGAAGTTGTTTGAGATGATGTGGAATGACGATAAACTAGTAAGAGATGTTCAAAACTATAGATGAAAAGAGAATAAACTGAATACAGCTAAAATGTTGCTTACATGCTTGAGTTGTTGCAAAGCATCTCGCGGGTGGATCGAGATGATAAGTCTCCTTCCAAAAGGTTTATAAAACCTCACTGTTTGAAAAGTGTTTTGAAATAAAATATTTGCAAAATAAACCCAACCTTTGTTTGAAGCTTGTATTATTCGGTTTTCCTAGTGGCTTGCAAAGTAGGAAAGTGCAACCCTTCTATTGTTGTTTGTTCTTCTCCCCTTTCTAAGTTCAGGTTGGTGAGGATGAATGATTGGTTTCTTCTTTTTTAAAAAAAAGATGAATGATTGGTATTGTCCCTAGACCCAAGCCACTGCTTGTATAGTGGTGTTCTAGAGCTACGCTAAAGTTTCGCTTCTGTTGTTTTTGGATGGAGGTTACTGCTTAGGGATTTCCCGAGGTTCCAGCACATGAAGGTATAAATTTATTAGTACTATTGCAACGATTCACCATGTTTCTGCAAGTACCCGCACTTATTTTTCTGGGACTGGTATTGGCATGACAGTTCCGTGGAGGATGATTCGTCATTCTCCCGCGGCGCACCCTCTTTGGTGTTGTCTGTGCAGTGATGCCATGGCGGGGTATAGCAGGGCCTTAACACAAAATGACAAAATTTCTATATGTATGCGCGTACGTAAGGTTGATGTGTGTAGTTTTTTTGAAAAACCAAAACTCTCATTTTAAAGGACTGACCAACTTGAGAAGTCAATATAGTGTGCACCTATTGTTCATACGAGCATTAGCTAAATATATGGTTAACTAACTGTGAGGCCTCGGCCCTCGGAAATGGTCAAATCTCATCTTTGTTTCACACCAAGAGGTCTATGATGACAAGTCTAACCAGTCATTATTATTGTAGTACAATTATCTTAATTAGAAAGGTAACAATTATTACGACATGTGCGGCACTTAGCTAATCTGCTAATGGATGTGTTTGAATGAAGGGGCTTTCGATAAATTATGAAAGGCGTACTATTATCAATGTATCGGTAATTAGAAAATGTTAATTTTGCTTTGGCTACACATTTACACAGTAGCACAATCGAACCACCTATCGGACGTACGACACTATAACCACCACTACACAATTTAATCAGACTTGTGAACCTGCTAGATATTTTATCTTTAGTCATCATTATTACACTAGCTACTAGAAATACCATTTTTATAGACATGGGTATTTTTTTTCTTCCCTAGCGGGTAGGCCTCTCAGAGCCAAACGGTCTCCTAAGAAAATAACAACAAGTGTCGAGACCATCGTTCGCCTGCGAAAATATATTTTTGCATCAAGTTAGGTTAGTTAAGATATATGATAACCAGCAGTTATAAAAGATAGATTAGAAAATCTAAAGCGATGACCTAATCCACCAATGCAAACCGCTGAGACAAGTCATACCTCTTGTCAGAAGATGAAAGTCGATTTCATAACTCGAAGCATGAACTCGTCGAAAAAGTATAATAGTTAAAAGGTGGTGATGCACCGAGAGTTTATTGAACGACTGTTGTATTTATTACACGACTTTGGGCATGAATGCACCGAGAGTTTATTGGACGATTGTTGTCTTTATTACACGACTTTGGGCATGTATTTGTACATGCACTACAAGATAATTGAGCTATTACCACCAAATTATTACAACAAAAAATAATTCGTAGCAATATATTATACTATTGCAATGATAATTTTTCTGTGGCAAATAATTATATTTTATTGCAATGATCTTCAATCGTTATTTTATTTAGTACTTTTGTTGCAATAGAAAATGAGATATCGCCACAAAAAATCGTACCGTTGCAAAAAACATGTTCTTTCGCCATAATTTTAATTTTCGTGGCAATTTATATAGTACATGGTACTTTTCACTATTTTTTGTTGCCACGATCAACAAATTCGTTGCAATAAAAAAATTGTCATATTATAATTTAACTTATTTTTTTCATATGGACACGGATTGAGACAAATTTTATATTGAAATTATAGCTCTCGACGAGATCTACAATTTTATAGGTGATAACTTTTTCTTTTGAAATCTTTTAGATATTCAAATCTATGATTCAAATCTCAGTTAGGTAGACTCAAATGGAACGATATACATTTTCTAACAATGCGTAGGTGAGTTGGTAAAGGAGCGCACGCATGAAAGATAGGTCTTGAGTTTGAATCCTAGCCAAGACACGATATAAAAAAACAAATAGATAAATAGATAGGATGACAGATTAATATTTGAACTTTTATTTTGGTACATAAAACTAATGCCACATATGGAGTGGTGGCAATAATTTTTATTACAACGATGTGAAGTGTTGCAATATGACTTTTTGCCACATCCATTCCGCGGCAGCATCTAAATTTATTACCACTAAATAAAAATCATTGCAATAACCTATTGCTACGCTATTTATTACCACAGCTAGCAACAATTTTAAAATTGTGGCAACATGTATCTATTGCCATAATTTTAGTATTGATGCTATGATTTTTTTCGTGGCAACAAATGAATCACAGTAGTGATGTAGTACAAATTTGTCCATGTTAGATATGACTCAAACTTTCCTAAGTTACAAAAACACACAACCAAGTTCCTATAGCGGACTCTTACCAAAACCCTTAATGAACATGACTCATTAATATTCCTAATTAGCATAGATCTAATTAATTGCTTGTAATGGGCTCTATGCTTGTTTGGTAACAATCTTAAATCACTGATCCGAGTTTAACTCTCACTCGACATCTGTCTGTATCGACTGTCCTGTTCATATTGGCTAGCTGATTCCGACTTTGTATCGGCCGATACAGTCCTCGATCAGCCGACGCGGTGCACTTTTTTGGAAACCAAACTTGTCCTTTCAAATCCATTTTCGATCCATCTTTGCCTCCGGTTATCTTGCCAAATTTTACTGTCAACAGTAACTGCCACCTATGCCATCCGTTATATGGATGAGTGAATCTATAATGGTTCTCCTAGCCCATTACGGATGACACTACCACCACCTACCTGATCAATGGACCCTACTAGTCGGTCCACATACTCATACAAGTTTCTCCTATTTTACCGATGGGTCTCAAATTTTCCTGTCTAATAACCATCTCTTTGATGGACTCAAACTATATCGGTGTTTCACGCGCATAGGCTGATGGCAAAAACATATCTCATAAAAAAGAATTTACCCGCGTGCAAAGTATTATAAAAGTTTCTAAACATAACACAAGTTTTGTTGTCATCAATAGTTCTACAAAATGTGTAGAATCAGAATATACTTTTTATAAGAAGAAACAAAACAGATCCAAAATTGAAACATAAAAAATTGTGTAGTCACTTTATTTTATCCCTTTTCCCTCCACATAGTTAAAGAAAACAAGTCAACTTGCATGCATGAAGGTACATTAATTATTGCTATAAACCATAATATGTTGTGTAATTCTTGTTTTCCAATTAATTGCTATATATATCTCTCATCGAACTTAATTTGTATGGACAAATGTAGTCATTATTAATTATTATTGCTAATTTGTTCAAGATTTTTTGTCTGCTTCTCCTTATAAAATTCTACCATTAATTTGAATCTTATTTCAAAATATAAGAATTTGCAACACTATTCACAACACATTACTTTGTTCCATCAATCACCTCTCATTTAAATTTTTTCCATATTACCCTCACCTACCGTCCCACCCTTTATTATTGAGGCGTATTGAAGTCTTTTCCTTCCTCATAACCTTAATCTCTTATATAACAAGAAATACTTATATTTTGGAATAACCGTACATACAAAGTTTTCATACCGATATTCTAACATATAAGAGATTTTGCTTATAAATTCACGTGGGAAAAATCTCTATATATATTTTGGACGGGTGTGATAAATAGCTGGCGCAAATACACATCTACTTCGTCTAATATATACCTAAAAGACAATCTTTTTTTTTTAACTCGTCAACGTTAGATGTTTGTCGTCTCATTCCTTGCTAGCTCTTCTTTACTAGACTCTTCCGCGGTGTCTTTCTTTTTTATTAATCTGTCTAATAATTGAACCACTTGCTGCCGGACCAGTATATGATCGATTGACTATAACTAGCTAGGTGGTTTGCTAAGTGGATACACTTAGGACGAACACAAGCACAACAAAGAGCGCGAGATCATATGGCGGAGACAATGGTTCTTCCCCTTATCGGCCAGATCATCAGCATTGCAAAGGATCTCGCGGCGGCGGCGCGGACGGCGAAGCAGAACAGGAGCAGGTGCCAGAGGCTCGCGCGCGACGCCGAGATGATCGTCGAGCTGCTGGAGGAGGAGCAGAGGCGCTCCTCGGGGTCCGAGTGGGCGTCCGCCGCCGCTCACGAGAGTGCGGCGGCGAGGTTGCTGCTATGCAGGCTGAAAGACGGCATCGACGACGCGCTCAAGCTCGTCCAGTCCTTCGGCAGCCGCGGCCCGGTCGACCGCTTCTTCCATGGGAGAAGCCTGGCAGGCAAGCTCGAAAATGTTCATGAGGAGATCAACAGCTGCCTCAGGCTGTACCATCTTGCCAACCGTACACTCCTGTACCATAACATCAAGCTATTAGAAGAAATAATATGTTCCCTGCTCCGACCGGAGGTAATACTACCTCCCTCCACTCCTTTTCAATTTCTGTATTTTGATATTTCAGAGATGGCTTATTGACTTTATAATCACAACATTTATGGTACTAAATATGTAGTTTTCAGATGCTCTACCTTAAATATATATAGTTACGTACGTGATAAATTTGATGTTTAAATATATGTATATATAGTTTTGTGATTTATCATTTAAAATTTGTAGTTTTATTATAGTTGCGTTAAAATTAAGTATATATCTGCTTTCAATTAGTATACAACGATACAATTATAGTACTACAAAATATTTTTAACAGCTAGCAATGCAGTCAATTTATTTATAATAATATCCTAATTAATGGCTATTTACTTGAGATATCTATATATGGCTTGAGACTAACATAAATTGACAAGATCGAATATATAAAACATGTATTAGAATAAATAAAAAAAAGGTATAGAAACAGATGAAAAACGTACACATTGCTCTTAGGAACTTTATATATAGATATAAAAAAAATGTTATCTTATATCAGGAAGGAAAGGAGTTGCGGAGGACGTTGAGCAGTCCCTCTATCCCGTCCGACGACAAAAAAGAAGTCTTCATGTGGTTTATTAGTCATTCCAATCAAGATAACAAGTAAGATAGTAGAAATATTATTCTCCCCCTTTTTTTTTAACAAAGGGCAGAAAAAGACAATTACAAATAAACGTGCATTGAGAACTAATTTAATAAATTAAGGGTTTTTGTTTCTTTCTTTTGTGGCAGGTTTCAAATTAAGGGAAAGTTTGAAAGAAATCAACGTGTTAATAATGCCATAGAGATACCAGCTGGAAACGTTGAAAAGCACGCGGGTCCTTATGATGGGAAAGGCTCCGAACTAAACATCGTTTCACAAGGTAAAATTTTATCAATTACCATAGGCTCAATTTCCATTCATATGCAATTAAAATAGAGAAAATTTGGCGTGAAGTATTCGTCTAGCACAATAAAAAAGGGTGACCACAAATAGTATCATAGGCATAGAATACATCGGATGCACATTTCCTAAAAGTGATATATATCCCAAAATAATTGTATAGTTAGAATAAAATTTCCAAACCAGTTACCTTTCTAGCTAGCTGCCCACATCACACCCCTTAGGATTAAAACAATTGGAGTATCAAACTTGAAGATCAATTTGAGATTTAATTTCTCCTATCCTCTGATGGGGATATACTTGAGATATATCTCTCCATGAAGGGAGGTACCAAAATTAAAGTCATAGAATGGAAAAGGTTGGTCGTTGTATATGTTATTGACTTTTTCTTACAATTTTACAGGTATAGATATTTCGGTTACCTAACAATATGCAGTGCATATACCTCTCTACTCTCTATAGCACCCAAGGACCAGAAAATTCATTGCCAATGTACAAACTTGTTTCCTAATAAGTTCAGTTGGTTTAAGTTTTTACCCCTCAAATAATAGTTACCTACATACTTTCCAAGGATCAGAGAAAACCTCAAATCTTGCACAAATCCAAATGAAACATATCTAAGAAGCACAACTGAGAATGCACCCGCACCCTAACCACAATATTATTTTTGTAATAAACCACCTGTTAGATGAAAACAACATCCCATTTTGGAAATTTCAGGACAGATACCAACGGTGAAAACTACTTCCCCTGTTCATAAGTAATAGCATTTTGAGAATTTGAATTTTTTTTCACAAATATAAGCATTTAGAGAGTACTACTCGTTCCATCAACCACCATTCTATTTTAATATTTTTTTTCATCTTACTCCAGGCCCCAACCCCATCCCAAATTTAACAGTAGACATCAAAGTCTTAATATTTGATAAACAACCATCAAAGTTTTCGATATTGAAGTCATTCTCCTCGAGTCGGTTTTGACCACAAGAAAACTTTTGCAGTTTCTTAGCTTGTCCATTGAAAACAATTGTTTTCCTTGTTCTCAAATTTCTCCGAAAATCCTGCTAACAACTCCACATTTGCACGCGCAGATGTAGCTACTGCTGAAAATAATTCAGCTACAGAAATCGTGGAGGAACTGCGAAAGCTTGCCGAGATGGTTATCAAAACCAACCACGCCATGAAGAAGTGGCTACCGCTTGTGCGAAGTGCGAAGCTGATCCTTGACTTCATGAACTACCTCCAAGGTCTTGGGATGACGGCGCAGGACGTGGCGTCGCTGAACCAGCTGACCAGGCTCAAGAGGCTCCTCGGCAATGCGTACAATTACCTTACCATGTACAGCCAGAGCGGCTGGACCACAATCAGCCGCTTTGGTAGGAGCTCGAGGAGGATAGATGAACAGATCACAGACGCCCAGAACAAGATCGACCTCTACCTCGAGCAACTACCCGCTGTTAGCCATAGCCAGATGTCCGGTCTCCTCGGAGGCATCCTCCGCAGTTCAGAGGTGCAGCGTTGCATATCTTTTTCATGTATACATATTTGTTGGATCTTGACCAGTACGTGATATGAGGCAACTTGTATTGAGCTCATTTCTATGTGTGTTTATTTTGCACAGAGTCACGACATGAAAATGTTGCAGGAGCTTTTCAAGACATTCCGGAAGACCATGTAGGGGAGAATGTACCTGCAGACAAGTAGAGCTCATTCCCCTGATGGTTTCTACTACTTTATCTCTTTACCAAACAAATTAAGATATATCCAATGTTTTTCTATATATTCAATAAACAGCATCCGATAGTCTTCTTCCGGTTGTTAGTATTAGCTAGGTGTGGTTAGCCAGCTGGTTACTGATCTATATATACATTGTACCATTTTGTATGGATGCCTTGTTTCAAACATGGTTGTGCTAGAGAATAGTCAATATATATGTTACTCCCTCCATTTCTATTTACATGACATTGGTCGTTGGCTACTTTATTTTTTTAAAAAAAAAGAAAAACAGAGGTAGCACAGTTTTGTAAATAGATGTTTTAATTTCTTTCCCTCGATGTATGGGTTGGCTTTTACATATTTATATGGTAAAATCTAAACCAAGAAGCCTCTCGGTTTAGTGTTAATCAACGACGAATCAATTGTGAGAAGAATTACTGCTACATGTGCTGATGTGCGTGCTGTTTTTCCTCTTAGACATGTGTGTCTTTTTCTTCCTTCTTATAAAGTTTTCTCTCAAATTACTTATCCGATTTACAATCTAATTACACCATTGTGTTCGTTACAATTAAATCTTCACAACAAGATCTTACATGATTATATTATGATGAAAAAATTATTTATATTTGTACATTACTTTTATTATATACTAAGTTACTTTTATAATATATATAAGTTACTTTTAGATTTGACTAAATTACTTCTATACATTTATAATGTTCTAAGTTGATTATTTTTATTATTGTTTTTAGTTAATTCTATATTTTGTGGATTTTATAAATCTTCTCTACACTTTACTTGCGAATTTACTCTACATAGTTTCTTATTTCAGCTCACTCACAATATAATTATTTCTACTACAGAGAGTTAATCACCCTGTTTCATAATGTAAGTCATTTTATTATTGTCCACATTTATATAGATGTTAATAAAACTAGATATAGTTCTAAATTAAAGTTACTTTCTTTTTGTTATAAGTTACTTCTATAATATATTTAAATTACTTTTAAGCTTTACTGAATTTACTTTTATATGTCTAAGAAGTAACTTAGTGAAATCTAAAAATAATTTAGACATATCATAAAAGTATAAAAGTAATTTATGATTTTTCATCAAAATATAATCATGTGAGATCTTGTTGTAAAGATTTAATTGTTACGAACACAACGATGTAATCGGATTTTAAATCGGATGAATAATTTAAGAGAAACTTCTCTAAGAAGAAAAAAATACATAGATATTGAGTGTACTAGTAGCTTTTTTTTGGAAAGAATGGTGTCTCTCTTTAGCACTATCCAGCTAGCACTCTCGGTGTAGTTGTGTCCTATTTATATGTATGTATAATGCCCTGAGGCTGAGGCAACCAGGGTCCAGGGGCAAAGCCGATCCCCCCCTTCCGGCCTCCCCTCTAGTGGCGGATCTAGGAATTTTTGTGGGCTTGGGCAAGCCTGACAGACATATCTATGACAATTGCAGGAAAACCAGTGCAAGCCACTGTAACAATGAGACGATGATGGTTCTGTTTTTTTGATGGGCTAGACTATAGTACTTTGTAATTTATTATCATGAAAAGAAAAAAAATAATGGGTGCTAAAGAATTCACTTTGCCTTCAGGTTAGAAAGACATGTGGTTTCCTGTCTGAATTAAGCATCCTAATGGGGCATGGGGCTAAGCTCTGCTGCATGCCGCTGGACTAGTGCCTAAGAGCCATGATTTGTTAGTGCTAATCTAATGGTGTATGCGGCGGTAGAGCCTCGGCAACTACCTAGGGCAGCCGGGCTATGGCTCCACCTGCCCCCCCGTTCCCCCCAGGTTGTCTCCGCCGTAGTTTCTCGCGGAATCAGAGACTCCTCCAACGCTTTTAGTCTAAATTCTGAGAAATTGTAGATGTAGAATCCAGATAATGAACTAGAAACCAGAAGCTTGGAAACCCACCTTTTCTAGATTCTCATAAGCTGGCTACCAACCAGCTGCATCTCAGAATCTTAAGCTCTCTCAAACAGACACTAAGTATCTAATAATAATAAAAATAAAGTTCACATCGCTAGGTGCCTAATATTTGAAGGGTACAATTTGCTATGGTTTAACGTACGCTCATGCAAGAATTGTAACCTCAATTCCTATGATATAATTTAACTCTTTATTTCAATTTTAAATTTCTATAATATATTAGTTAATACTTGCAAGATAGAGAGTTTATTGCTGCTCATATATTGTGAAGATCCAGTTTTTTGTTTGATTATTTGTCTATTTATCTATATTTTTAGTTTGGATAATTTTATCACGTTTATAATCTATCTATTCAGCACTCATATGACTAAATTAAAATGAATAAACACATGTAGTATTGCTACAGTACCTACCTATTTTTTATATTATCATGTGTTTTTCTACGTTGATATGATACATTGCCTGTGGAAAGCACTGAAATTTGCTTATATATTTTTTGCATTATTTATTTTATTTATATGATGGTAATCACTTGTCAAGCTGTCCCCTTCAAGGCAACCATGGACAAAATTTAATCATTCGTCTTTATTTTTATTTGCTCTTAATGAATAATATGGGACATTCACATATAGTTTGTAGCTAGCTCTGCACAATGTTTCTTCTTTCAGAGACGACCCAGTTCCAACCTTCATCATTGTTGCTTGACCAAAATAGAGTAAATTTTAGAAAACTGCAACTTTAGTGACAAAATTATCATTTTGCTGTAACATTAGCGACATGTTTCAGTTTGCTGCAACAATAGCGTGGAAAATTATCACAAAACTACAACTTTTACGTTATATATTGCTATAGTTGTCACCTATATTTACTCAGCAAGCTCCACCCGCTCAAGCCAAGAAGGAGCCCGGAGGAAAGCCTAGACCCTGCTTCAACTGTGGCAAGCACGGCCACTTTGCTGACAAGTGCCCGAAGCCGAGGCGCGCTGGAACGAGGTTCGTCCAGGCCTGTGTCAACCATGCGTCCGCAGAGGAGGCTCAAGCTGCACTAGAGGTCGTACTGGGTATGATTCCTGTTAACTCAATACCTGCAACAATACTTCTTGATTCTGGTGCAACGCACTCATTCATTTCCAAGAAGTTTGTTCGGGTACATGGGTTAAGAAAAGAAGAGCTTAGCACACCCATGAGGTTTCATACCCCATGGAATAGTTCAACTTCTGTCAGTTACAACCCTTCTGTGGTAATAGAAATCCAAATATCACAATTTCTAGCCAACCTCATCCTTCTTGAATCCAAAGACCTAGATGTCATTCTTGGGAAGGATTGGCTGACCAAGTTCAAGGGCATAATTGATTGTGCGAATCGCATGGTCACCTTGGTGAACGAGAAGGGAGAAACAATTGTCTACAAGTCTCCGGCCTCACGGAAGCAAGGAGTCTCTTTGAATCAGATTGAGGTTAAAAATCCAGTGGCCGCAGAGGAAAAGAGTCCGAGGAAATTGGAGGACATCCCTATTGTTTGCGAGCATCTAAAAGTGTTCCCCGAGGACCTCACTACCATGCCACCGAAGAGGGAGATCGAGTTCCGGGTTGATCTGGCACCAAGAACCGCTCCGATCTACAAGAGGCCCTGTAGAATGGCAGCTAATGAGCTAGCAGAGGTCAAGAAGTAGGTTAATGAACAGCTGCAAATAGGGTATATCCGATCGAGTACTTCACCTTCAGGTGCTCCGGTCATTTTTTTAGAGAAGGACAAGACGAAGAGGATGTGCGTCGATTACCGCGCACTTAATGAGGTCACAATCAAGAATAAATATCCTTTGCCAAGGATTGATAACCTATTTGATCAGTTAAAGGGAGCTTAAGTGTTTTTCAAGATAGACCTGCGATCAGGCTATCACTAGTTGAGAATTTGGGAAGAAGATATTCCCAAGATAGCCTTCACCACTCGGTATGGGTTGTTTGAGTGCACGATAATGTCCTTTGGACTCACCAATGCATTGGCTTTCTTCTGAACCTGATGAACAAGATGTTCATGGAGTTTTTGGACAAGTTTATCGTGGTATTCATTGACAACATACATGAGCAACATCTCCGTCTGGTACTTGAGAAGTTGAAGGAGCACTAGCTTTATGCAAAGTTTAGCAAGTGTGACTTCTGGTTATCGAAAGTCAAATTTCTAGGTCACGTCATTACTGCTCAAGGCGTGGCAGTGGATACATCGAATGTGGAGTCAGTTACCAAGTGGACCCCACCTAAGATAGTGACTCAGATCCGGAGTTTTCTTGGACTTGCAGGTTATTACCGTCGGTTCATTGAAAATTTCGGTTCATTGAAAATTTCTCCAAGATTGCCAAGCCCATGACTCAGTTGCTAAAGAAAGATGAGAAATTCAAGTGGTCGGCTAAGTGTGATAAAAGCTTTGAAGAACTCAAGAAGAAATTAGTATCTGCACCGGTTCTAATTCTGCCTGACCAGACGAAAGATTTCTAAGTCTACTGTGATGCATCCCGCCAAGGGCTAGGGTGTGTTCTGATGCAGGAAGGCAGAGTAGTCGCTTATGCCTCGCGGCAGTTGCGTCCACATGAGGGCAACTATCCTACTCATGATCTTGAGTTGGCAGTAGTGGTTCATGCTCTGAAAATCTGGCGGCACTATCTCATTGGCAACCGCTGTGAAGTTTACACTGACCACTAGAATTTGAAGTATATCTTCACCCAGCCTGACTTGAACCTCCGACAGCGAAGATGGTTGGAGTTGATAAAAGATTATGACATAGGGATACACTATCATCTAGCCAAAGCAAATGTGGTAGCAGACGCACTGAGCAGAAAGAGCTATTGCCATGCCTTGTGTACTGAAGGCATGTGCGATATGTTGCAACAAGAGCTTGAGCATCTCAAGTTGGGAATTGTGGAACATGGGTTCGTAGCTGCCCTAGAGGCACGGCCTACTCTCGTGGATCAAATTAGAGTAGCTCAGATAAATGATCCTGAAATAGCTGAGCTTAAGAAGAATATGAGGATTGGCAAAGCCCGGGATTTTCATGAAGATGAGTATGGCACAATCTGGATGGGAGAAAGATTGTGTGTACCTGAAAACAAAGAGCTAAAAGACATGATACTTACCGAAGCTTATCAGACTCAATACTCTATCTACCCCGGCTGTACCAAGATATACCAAGATTTCAAAGAAAAATTCTTGTGGGCCAGCATGAGAAGAGAAATAGTTGAATTACGATTCTGACTTTCTCCTATGCTTCGGTTAGTTCTTCTGT